TCTGCATTTTAGTACCCATTCTGATACCTTTTCACTCCAGGCCTAGTTATGAGAGAAATTTCCAACTTTAAGTTCCTTTAGGTATGTGTCAGACCCTGTAACCCTCTCATACATATTTTCTAACACATTTGGCAGATAGTCTCTCAAAAATTTGTTTACACTTGCTTAATTTCAGTGTGGCAAGTTTTACTCACTTAGTCCCATATTAATAAATAGAGTCAATGAGAATTGAAATATGGGGTGGAAGATACTCAACTTGCATTAACACTCACACATTTAATCATATAGCATGAGGTACTAACTCTGGACTATAGTAAATCTGCTTATATTTTTAAAATTTCAGATAGATTTTCAGATTTTGTTGTATGATTTTTACTATACAACAATGGCTGTGATCATTACTCTTACCCATTTATTATCACAACTGAACTGTGGAATATGAAGAGTCAATTGCTGGTTCATCTTGGAGTAAAAATACATTTCCCCATAATCCCACAGTTTGTTTGTACAACCATAGCCTTACCATCTCATGATGATTGTAATCAATTTTCCTTCCCAGTAGATTACATCCTCTCTTTCCTCATGGTTTTGTGACACAAAGATTCTGAAAGCTATGAATACATGGAATAAACAGTGAAGAACTCTCCTTTCTGAGGTTGAAAGCAGTATAGTGTAATCATCTGGCTGACCACAAATGATTGAAATTCTTCTACTATAGTGCCAAGATGTGATTTTAGTGTTGTAATTTGTTATCTACATGTTGAGTGTCTGATAGAAGCAGTGACAGGATCAGTCTGATGATACTAAATTTTATATTTTATGCACAGCCTCTGTTCCTTCAGCCTATGATCTATGTGCCTGCTCTATCAGTGGGCAGAGGCTAATATCAAGTTGTTACATGTGAATGAACCAAATTGTGTCAAGTACATGGTTATTTAATGTCTCTTCTATGATATAAAATTTTCAAAGACATTAATCTATGTCAAAATTCTCAGTCTTTAAGTCTACTAATAATTTTCCCTACATGCCTCTTCCCAAAACTGTTTTTATTCATATACCATTGGTTTTTGACCAATTGTGAAATCATTTATCATTGTATGGCTGGAGAGATGGTTCAGCAGTTAGCAACATCCACTGTTCTTGCAGGGAATCAGAGCTTTTGTACTAGCAACCATATAACACAAGTCAAAGCAACTGTAACTCTAGTTCTAAGAAGTTCAACACCTCTTCCCTCTCTGGACCTCTGCACTCAGGTACACCAACTAAAGCAGCATTACACAAAAATAAAATAAAATACATCTTAATAGCTAAATAAGAAATTCATGGTTTGACTGAGTCATGGTAGATACTACTTCTTATCCTTCTGGTGTGTTGTCCTCATGATGTTCATAATTTATACATTATACTGCATTTATTGAAACTACCACAAAAATCTCAACTAAAATAAACATGTTCACAGTTAATATGCAGGTACATAAATTGTTATCAGAGAGGCTTTACTCAGCAGCTGATGGAAGCAGATAGAGCCCCTTTGCCAAACATTAGGGGGACTACAGGAATTCCTAAGAAGAGGGGGAGGAAGAATGGTAGGAACCAAAGAGGTCAGGAACACCACAAGAAACGCAACAGTAGCAACTTACCTGGCCTCATGGAGGCTTATAGGGGTTCATGGGTACTGAACTGCCAACTTGCATGTGAAAGAATTAGGACTTCTTTGTAGTTGTGCAACTTGGTTTTCTTGCAGGACTCATAATATTGGGATCAGGGGCTGTCTCTGACTCTGTTTGCTTCTTTTGGGACCTTTTCTTCCTACTGGGTTACTTCTTTCAGCCTCAACAGAAGAGGAAGCATATAGTCTCATTGCAATTTGTTATGGAATGGCTGGCTGATAGCCACAGCAGGCTAGGACTTTTCTGAAGAGAAAGGAGGAGTGGATGAGGGCATGAAGATGAAAGTTGTTGGGTGGAGGAGAAGAAAGGATAGAGTGGAAACTCTGATCAGATTGGAAAAAAATCAATTATTCAACAAATAAAATTAAAGAAAAGAAGACTATAGTGGTAAGAGTTTATTCAGCTTACACTTTCATACTTCAGTCCATAATTGAGGGAAGCCAGAACTCAGAAATCAAACAGAAAAGCAGATGCTAATGCAGAGGCCATGCAGGGGTGCTGTGGACCGGCTTGCTCCCAATTATGTGTGCAGCCTGCTTTATTACACATCCTAGGACTTAAAATGGAGTTGTCTATCACCCTTCAATCACTGATTAAGACAATTCCCTACAACTAAACACTGACCTGAACAAGAATCCAGATGCAGAGAGGGAGGACAAGACCAGGCTGCAGAAACACATAGAGATAGCTGACCCAAACAAGGAGGAGCTAATGGGTCCCCAGATTGATAACTGGGAATCCAGCATAGGACTGACTCAGACCCTGAACATGGGTCTCAGCTAGAAGGCCTGAGCAGTCTAAGGGACCTCAAACAGTGGAACCAGGATGTATTCCTGGTGCACAAAATGACATTTGGGGCACATCCCCTCCATGGAGGAATACTCCCTTAACATAGAGACAGGAGAGAAGTCCTTGTCCCTACCTCAAATGACTTAACAGATTTAGATGACCCCTCCTGGATGGCATCACCCTACATGTGGAGTTGGAGGTTGGTGGGAGAGGAGAGTGGGGGTGCATGTAAGGGCGGAGAGATGGAAAGAGGAAGGGAGAGAGTATGAGATATCAGTAGGGAGGGGGATGGAACTGGGATCAATATGTAAAAAAAATAAAATAAAAATTGTATGTGAAAAAAAAAAGAAAATGGCCTATAGCTGGACCTTATGGAGGCATTTTCTCAATTGAGGTTCCTCATTTCAGATAACTCCAGCTGGTGTCAAATTCATATAAAACTATCCAGTGTAATTCCTCCATGTCCCGTGACAAAAGTGTATCATATCTATAACAGCGGAGTCTAGCCAACAAGTTTGGAGGGGAACCAAGACCAATGGCAATGGCCTATAATGATTTGGTGGTTTCTATAACCTCTCTTGCCATCATCTGGAAGGTAAGTATATTATGCCTAGAACTAAGATTTTTTTTTAACTAGGTGGAGCACAGTACAGTTTTCAGAACTATACATACATATCAGTATTCAGAATAAATGGGAGAAATCGCACCTTTCTGATTTTCCAGCTCTCATGTCTTGAAGTACATGAAATAACAGATGGATTAAATAAAACAAACAAAGTTATCATGCTACATGAGAATACATGTGTGGGAAGGTAGCATAGAGGAATGAGTTAAATAGTTTTGTAATACCTTTCAAAATTTTAAATGATAACTCTATTATGAGGATTTAATATGATAATTACATGCCATAGATAAAAAGAGAGATACTCTATTGGCAGTAGAATGCATTTTCTTTTTTATTTAAATTTGAAACAAGCTTGTTTTACATATGAATCCCAGTTCCTGTACCATCTCATCATCCCTTGTTTAACCCATCCCATTCCCTTTCTGTTGCCCAGGGAGCAGACTTACATGGGAACTCTTAAAAGTCAGTCATATCATTTGGAGCATGTCTTAGGCCTCCCCCATGTGTCTAGGCTGAGGGATTATCCCTCTCTGTGGAATGAGCTCACAAAGTCCATTCCTATACTAGGGAAAAATACTGATTCATTACCAGAGGTCCCATAAACTGCCCAGTCCTCCTAACTAACACTGATATTCAGGGAGTCTGGGTAGTTCCTATGCTGGTTTCCCAGCTGTCAGACTGGATTTCATGAGCCCCCCCCTCCCTTGTTCAAGTCAGCCATTTCTATGGGTTTCTCCAGCTTGGTCTTGATGTCTTTGCTCATCACTCTTCCCTCTCTGCAACTGGATTTCAGGAGTTCTGCTCATTGTTTAGCTGTGGGTTTCTGCTTCTGCTTCCATCAGTTACTAGATGAAGGCTCTAGAATGACATGTAAGGTAGTCATCGATCTCATTATCAGGAAAGTGCATTTAATGTATCCTCTCCACTATTGCTTAGATTGTTAGTTGGGGTCATCCTTGTAGATCTACAGACATTTCCCCAGTGCCAGATTTCCCTTAAAACCTATAATGGGCCTCAATGGCTCTCATCTGAAGGATGGATGAAGAAAATGTGGTACATTTACACAATGGAGTACTATTCAACAGGAAAAAAAAAGTAATGGAATTTTGAAATTTGCACGCAAATAGATAGAACTAGAAGAAACCATTCTGAGTGAGGTAAACCAGTCACAAAAAGACAAAAATGGTATGTACTCACTCATATATTGCTTTTAGACATAGAAGAAAACATTACCAGCATATAATCCACACCACCAGAAAAGCTAGGAAACAAAGAGATCCCTAAGAGAAACATGCATGAAGAGCTGGATAAGAGGAAAGGGTCAAGAAGATCTCCCAACCAAGTTGGGAGCATGGTGCAGGGGAGAGGGAGTTAAGAGGAAGAGGTCGGGGAGGTGGGTCTGAGGGAGCAGGAAGACTGAGTCAGGGAAAGAACAGAAGAAAGCAAGAAAAGAGATAGCATAATAGAAGAATACTTTTCTTAAGAGCATATTTTTGGGGAGGCTGTTTGGCTCTCTGGGTAAAAGTGCATGTCAAGCCAGCCTGAGAATCTTAGTTTAATCCCCACAAACCAGATAATGTTGGAAGGAGAAAACCAACTTAATAAAATCATGCACTGTTTTCCATAATAATAATTAATAAAAATAAATGTAAAGAACATCGATTTTGCTGGGGCGTCTCTGGTCGATGCAGCTGGTGGAGAGGACTCCTCACACTTACCACTGGAGTGATCGGGTTTAGTAGGCAGAGGAACTTTGGCTCTCTTAGCCCTTCTCCTCTACCCTCAGTGGATATCTCAGAGCCCAGCAGGGCAAAGTAACTCAAGCCCCGCCCCTTTGCTATTATCTCTGTGCCACTGCAGGAACAATCCAAAGAGGGACAAGCCAAAGAAGGTGCGTCACAATAGGGCACACTACATCACATGTTGCTAAGGAAGAAGTTGACCACACCAAAATGAGTCTGCATGGTGTTATTGGAGGGCACGTACGAACAAGAAACAGATGGGAGTCAAGAGACAAATCACAAGATTTATCTCATGAGCAAGCAGAGTCTCAGCTTACTCCCTGTATTCGAATTGTGACTTCACTAACACAACAGCAATCTGTTGAACATGGAAAAGATAATAGTCGTCCTCAAAGAACATCACCAAATGGCTCCATGAGCAGTGCTGGGAATAGCAGCAGAAATAGTAGTCAGTTGAGCTCAGATGGTAGCTATAAGACATCTAGGGAGATGGTGTTTGTGCATGAGAATGCAAAAGAAGGGGCTCAGAATGTGAGAAAATCTGAGCCAGTAACACTGATAGTGGATAACACCAGATTTGTTGTTGACCCATCCATTTTTACTGCACAGCCAAATACAATGTTGGGCCGCATGTTTGGATCTGGCCTTAAACATGATTTCACAGTACCCAATGAGAAGGGAGAATTTGAATTGGCAGAAGAAATTGGTTCTACTGTGTTTCAAGCTATACTGGATTACTACAAGATAGGAATCATCCGCTGTCCTGATGGTGTATCTATTCCTGAGCTGAGAGAAGCATGTGATTATTTTTGGATCTCTTTTGAATACAGTACAATTAAATGTAGAGATCTCTGTGTCATTATGCATGAGTTATCAAATGATGGCGCTCGTAGACAATTTGAATTTTATCTGGAAGAAATGATCCTTGCTCTCATGGTAACAAGCACCCAGAGTGGGGAACGAGAGTGCCATATAGTGGTGCTTACAGATGATGATGTAGTTGACTGGGACAAGGAGTATCCACCACAGATGGGAGAGGAATATTCACAAATTATTTATATCACAAAATTATATAGATTTTTCAAGTACATTGAAAACAGAGATGTGGCCAAATCAGTTTTGAAGGAGAGGGGTCTTAAGAAGATTAGACTGGGAATAGAAGGCTATCCAACCTACAAAGAAAAAGTAAAGAAAAGGCCAGGAGGCCGCCCAGAAGTCATTTACAACTATGTCCAAAGACCCTTTATTCAAATATCCTGGGAGAAGAAGGAAGGAAAGAATCGGTATGTCGATTTTCAGTGTGTAAAGAGTAAATCTATCAAAAACCTCGCAGCAGCTGCCGCAGACATTCCCCAGGACCAGGACCAGCTGGTAGTCATGTGCCCTACTCCACAGGTGGAGCTGGATATTCTCCCCAGCCACCCTGCATTGGGCAGTAATGACCTCAATGCTGATGCACAGAATCCATTGCTGTTATGCTGATGTTCCTGAAACCATAGCATGCTACTTTTCACAGTGACATCGTACTCATTATTGTGCACTGAGAGGATAATCCTCTTCATTGCGAGATACACATGTTTGGGATACTGCAATGTAGGCTTTTTTAAAGACCAAAGGAAGCTGATTTTTTTTTTAATGAGTACAATTTAGCATCCTGGTTTCACTTCTATAAATGTATTTGCTTACAAGTAGGGTTGTGAAATTGGTTCTTTGTACAGGGACAGTCTTTTTTCACACATCTAGATCTTCTTAGAAGTGGTGGGAATAGATAGCTTGGGTACTTTCAGTGCAGAATATTATGATTGGCTAACGAATTTCAAGATCCATTGTTTATTTTTGTTTTTGTTTTTATTTGTTTTGTTCCCCCCCCCCACAGAGTAGTATTCCATTGTGTGCCACATCGTCTTTATCCATTTTTCAGTTGAGGGGCATCTAGCTTGCTTCCAGGTCCTTGCTATTACAAATAATGCTGCTATGAACATAGAGCAGATGTCTTTGTTGCATGGATGTGTATCCTTTGGGCATTTGCCTAAGAGTAGGATTTCCTGGTCGTATCATAAACTGATTCCCAGTTTCCCAAGGAACTGCCATATTCATCTCCAAAATGGCTGTACATGTTTGTACTCCCACCAGCAGTGGAGCAGTGTTCCCCTTTCTCCACATCCTTTCCAGCATAAGTTGTCATGGTTGTTACTAATTTTAGCCATTCTGGCAGGAATAAGATAATATCTCAGAGTTGTTTTGATTTGCATTTCCTTGATTGCTAAGGATGTTGAGCACTTTCTTAAGTGTCTTTCAGACTTTTTTTGATTTCCTCTATTGAGAATTCTCTCTTCAGTTCTGTACCCCATTTTAATAGGGTTATTGGCTATTTTTGTAACTAGTTTTTTAAGTTCTTTATATATTTTGGAGATCTGCCCTCTGCCAGATGTAGGATTGGTGAAGATATTTTCCCAGTCTCTGGGCTGCCTTTTGCTCATGTCAACTGTATCCTTTGCTTTACAAAAGCTTCTCAGTTTAAGGAGGTCCCATTTATTAATTTTGAATCTCAGTGTTGTGCTAATGAAGTTATGTTCAGGAAGAGGTTTCCTATACCAATTTGTTTACTGGTAGCTCCCACTTACTCTTCTAAGAGGTTCACTGTGGCTGGATTTATGTTGAAGTCTTTGATCTATTTGGACATGAGTTTTGTGCATGGTGACAGACATAGTTCTATCTGCAGTCTTCTACACACCATCATCCAGTTGTTCCCATACCATTTGTTGAAGATGCTTTCCTCTTTCCATTGTATACTTTTAGCTTTTTTGTCAAACCTCAGGTGTTTGTAGGTGTGTTGGTTAATATTATGATTTTTTATTCGATTCCATTGGTCTACATCTATATTTTTGTGCCATTACCAGGCTGTTTTCAGGACTATAACTCTATACTACAGCTTGAAGTCAGGGATGATGATGCTTCCTGAAGATACTTTATTGTACAGGGTTATTTTGGCTATCGTGAGTCTTTTGTTTTTCCATATAAAGTTGATTATTACCCTTTCAAGGTCAGTGAAGTTTTGTACTGGAATTTTAATGGTAATTGCATTGAATCAGTAGATTGATTTTGGCAAGGATGCCATATTATTGGATTTAGCCTACCCATCTAAGAGCATGGGAGATCTTTCCATTTTGTGGTATAATCTTTAATTTTTTCTTGAAAAACAGTCTTTCACTTGTTTTGTGTTACCCCAAGGTAATATATATATATATATATATATGTTTATCTTGAATACTGCTAGTTTGCTAAAAGTGTTTATCACGTGTAGGAGTTCCATGGTAGAAATTTTTAGGTCATTAGTGTAAACTATCACATCATCTGCAAATAGTGACAATTTGACTTCTTCCTTTCTGATTTGTACTCCTTGATCACCTTTTGTTGTCTTATTGCTTTAGCAAGATATTCAAGTACAATATTGTAGAGGAGAGAGGGTTAGCCTTGTTATGTTCCTAATTTTAGAAGAGGGGCCTTATGCTTCTCTCCATTCAGTTTGACATTGGCTGTTGCTTCACTGTATTTTGCTTTGATTATGTTTAGGTATATTTCTGTTATCCCTGATCTCACCAAGACCTTTATCATGAAAGGGTGTTGAATTTTGTCAAAGGCACTTTCAGAATCTAGTGAGAAAATCATGTGGTTGATATGGTGTGTCACATTGATAGATTTTCTTATGTTGAACTAACCCTGTAACCCAGGGATGAAGCCTATTTGGTCATGGTGGATGATTTTTCTGATGAGTACTTGGATTTGATTTTCCAGTATTTTATTGAGTATTTTTACATCAATATTCATGAGGGATATTGGTCTGTAGATTTCGTTCTTAGTTGTGTCTTATTGTGGCTTGAGGCTTGGCTACCAAGGTAATTGTGGCCTTGTAAAAGAACTTGGTAAAGAACCTTCTGCTTCTATTTTCTGGAAGAATTTTAGGAGTATTAGTATTGGCTCTTCCTTGAATTTCTGGTAGAATTCTGCACTGAAGCCATCTGGTACTGGGCTTCTTTTTGGCTGGGAGTATTTTGATGACTGTTTCTATTTCATTAGGGGTGAAAGGTCTATTTAATTTGCTTATCTGTTCTTAATTTAATTTTGGTAAGTGATAATTATCCAGAAATTTTCCGTTTTCTTTGAATTTTCAAATTTTTTGGAGTAGAGGTTTTCAAAGTATGACCTGAAAATTGTCTGGATTTCCTTACTGTCCCTTGTCATTTCTAATTTTCTAATTTTGCTAATTTGCATGTTCTCTCAGCTTTTTGGTTAGATTGGATGAAGGTTTGTACATCTTTTTAATTTTCTCAAAAAAAAAAACTACTCTTTGTTGCATTGATATTTTTGTATTGTTTTTCTGGTGTCTACTTTATTGAATTGAGCCCTCAAATTTATTATTCTTGTTTGTTTTAGATTTTTTGTTGGATGTGGTATTATGAATATATTTGCCTTGCTTTATCCTTTGGGTTCTGTTGAAGTAGGAATATCTATTTCCTATGTCTTTGTGAGTGTACTTAACTTCCTTGGGTTGGAGTTTTCCTTCCAGAACTTCCTGTAAGGCTGTAGGGCTGGATTTGTAGATATGTATTGTGAAAATCTGGCTTTGTCATTATTATATTGTTTTCTCCATCTATAGTGGTTGAGGATTTTCTGGGTATTGTAGCCTGCCTGGCATCTGTGAACTCTCAGGACTTGTAGAACACCTATTCAGGACTTTCTGACCTTGAAATATTCCATAGAGAAGTCAGGTATAATTTTGATAGGTCTGCCTTTATATTACCTTGTCTTTATCTTTCACTGATCCTAATATCCTTTCTTTATTCTGGTTGTTAGGTGTTTGATCATTATATGGTGAGGGGTCTTTTTGTTTGGTCCATTCTATTTGGTGTTTGGTATGCTTCTTATACTTTCATAGGCATGTCCTTTTTTCATACTGGGAAATTTTTCTTCAATGATTTTGTTTAATATATTTTCTGTACCTTTGAGCTAGGCTTCTGTGCCTGCTTTAATGCCTGTTATTCTTAGGTTTGGCCTTTTCCTGGTGTCCCATATTTCCTGGATGTTTTTGGTTGAGAATTTTTTGGATTTAAGATTTTCTTTGGTCGATGAATCTATTTCCTCTAGTTTATCTTCAATGCCTCAGATTCTTTTTTCCATCTATTCTATTCTGTTGGTTATTTTTTTTGCATCTGTAGTTCCTGATCGTTTTCCTAGTTTTTCTTTTTCCATCATTCCTTCATTTTGTGTTTTCTTTATTGTCCCTATATCAGTTTTCAAGTCTTGAACTGTTTGAGTTGTTTCCTTCATTTGTTTGATTGTTTTTTTCTAGGCTTTCCATACTTCCTTTAAGAGATTTGTTCATTTCTTCCAATGTTTTGTTTTTTCTTCCATTTCTTTAAGATATTTTCTCATATCGTCTTTGAGGGTCTCTATCATTTTTATGAAGTTATATTTTAAGTCATTTTTAAGTCATTCTCTTCTGCTTCTTCTGCTTTGGGGTGTTCAGGTCTACTTAGTGTAGTGTCCCTAGATTCTGGTGGTGTCATGTTTATCTTTTATTGTTAGGTATTTTCTTGTATTGCAGTCTTCCCATCTCTTCTTCCAGTGGATGCTGGTGGAGTCTCTCTGTCTCTGTCTCTCTCTCTCTGCTACTGTCCCAGTGGGTGTAGGTGGTTCAGGAGTTCAATGTCCATAGCTCATGGTTGTCCAACCTCTCTATAATGTCTCTTCTCCAGCAGGACCCAAGTGATGGGGGACAAAGGCAAGCAGGGACTCAGGGTGGTCCAATGCAGATAGGTGGGTCTACTGTGCTCAGAGCAGTTCTAGTAAGTTCCTTAGAGGAGGAGGGATTGTTGGACTCACTCTCTGGTTCAGTGCTCAACCAGAGCAGTAGAACAGTGGGCTTAGTAGGGCACAATGTGGGGGGGGGGTGGTTGGGTGTGTGTGGGTTGTGGTTCACAGTAGTATGAGTGTTCTCTCTAGGGACAGGATATGGGGGGAATCGAGATTCGAGGTTAACTCAGGGAGTTCCCACGGAAGGATGTGGAGGGGAGGATTTAACCTGAACTGCTCCCAGACTCACCTCCGGCACAGGGGTCCTAATGCCTTTTTCTTAAGAGTTATAGGACAGGAAAGTGAACTGTTTGCTCTTCACTTACTAAATGATTATAAACCTGAGTTTTCTATCAAAACAAAATTCTATTGTTTGAATGTTAAAGAAGTGAATTTTCACAGAATTGTTAACTCTGAGGAAAATATTGTGGTAATTAAAATGAATAAGTGTATTATATCTGAAAATTATTGGCACCTTCATATAGCCATTGGAAATATTTACATCTAGTTTTCTTTCCATATAAAAACACAAAGTGTTAGAGTTGAGTGATCCTTAAAATCTATCACACTTTAATTTGTTGAGAGTCCTTTTATTCATATTCTCTTTCTCATTTGGTAATTTGGGACTC